CTATTCATTTTGTCTCTTTTAGTATTCTCATGATTGAATTTATAAATTTATATTCTAGAAAATCACGCTCATTGTTTTCTTTGAACTCAAGAGTCAATCGTTTGAGTGTGAAGCAGAAATCAGCCAGTGTCAATGTGGAGACTGATCACTATATTCAAGTTGATTAATCTATTGCTTCTAATGATGATGGAGACACGTTCATTGTGTGCTATTTTTGGTCACGTTGAATTTCAAATGCAGTCTTCTCCGTAAAACAAAAGCATAAATAAATACATCATCGTTGTCTGCATTTGCTTCCCTCACTGATGTCAACCATGGATTTCACTTTGTAACGAACAATACAAATGAAATGGGATAGTGAATGAAATCTGTGCCTGACACACAGCGACTGTTTCATATTTAGAAGTTTTCATATCTATTCGTGATTCTAGCTAAACTTCTGAACTGCTTGTTCTCTTCGAAATACTAGCAATCAAATGACTATTTTTCTAATATCGATATCGTTTATGCTGAACTGAATCTCCATGTTGACCGCCTTACAGTATGGCGCTGATAATTGTGTTTTCACTATTCAATAGGCAGAAGACGGTTTTACAGATGATGCTAAGGATTGGAAAAGACAACATATCTACGAAGAGTCAGCTGCTAGGTGGCTTCACACGATTTGCGTAGAACAATTACAGTAAAGGAGAAACACTACAAAAGTGAAGTGAAGCAAAGCGAAAGGGGAGACTATCATTGATATTGGATTCTACAATCAATTCAAATATAAATCAACTTGCTTATCAGTAGTCATCTTTGCATAGCAGAAAATGCAAAAGAACTGCACACCAATAAGAGCTGTCCTGTTTACGATTTGTTTCCATTACCAAAATGTCTATCACTGGTTAGTATGAAATCGAGAATTGCTTGTGGAAATCTTGTTCCACCATCTACACTATCAATATGTCGTTGCATTTCTTCGAAATAATAGAAAAGTATAATGAACCTGACAGTATGTCATATCTTATGATATAAAATTCATTTTTATGAACATTCCTTCCTAAGAAACGTCCTACTGCTGTTGATGGCTGAATTAAGGCGTCTTCTGACCAGTCCAGATTCTAAAATGTGTTCCATCAACATGCTCACGGATTGGATATGTGTGGTCGTGTACTTCTTTAAATGGTCGACATCTGTATGTTCCGGCTGGAAGCACATCACGTTGAAATCTACAATCTTTACAATGACATGATGTTCCAGATTTGCAGAAATACTGTATTTGCTGTAAGCGGTGACATTCGGTGAGGTGAAATGATGATCGCTACGGAAGTTCAATACTACTCGCTCGAATATGTGTTTACAGCGGAGCACGAAATCTAAAATTATCTGCTCTTTCTTGACTTTTGGATGAATACAAAATGTAATTTACAGGAAAATGAATACTTCTTGTCGTGTAACCTTTTTCCAGAGATGTGTATCAATGACACTACGCCAGAGAGCAGTTAACCTTTTCTCAGTGAAGCATAAATTGGTTTCATCCTTCATCGCTTAAGTGACATATAGCTCGCGTATTCTGGCACAGTTGAAAAAATTCATCCAATATTTTAATGTTTGGTTTTGTTAACCTCTGATTCATCAGACCACCAGACTTCAAACGATTCTCTTGCATATTTTGGTGTGCTTCGAAATCCCTTTGCTCACTTTTCAGTGTCGTCACCTTGTAACTTTTTTACCACTTCGAATTCACTATCTCATTTATTTTTCAATATTCACTACAACCTGAAATCCATAGTCGACATCATCGAGAGGGTAAATTTTAATTTAAGCTTATGTTTATGGAGAAGACTATATGTTAAATCGAACGTTACAGAAAATAACACATTATGAACTTGCTCCCAATATCATTGGAAACAGTAGATTGATCAAGCAGATCAGTCTCCACATTGACACTGGCTGATTTCTGCTTCACACTCAAACGATTGACTCTTGAGTTCAAAGAAAACAATGAGCGTGATTTTCTAGAATATAAATTTATAAATTCAATCATGAGAATACTAAAAGAGACAAAATGAATAGTCAGTCAACTGACCCTGTAATAGAACGTGATTGAATGAAGCTGATTGCTGAACCTGATGCATTGAGGTCAATACGTGCATGTAGCAGTTAGCTATGTGAACATCTCGAATGGAAATCCATCTAGAATTTTGTACAATTTTATCATCAACTGAGGAGTTCTGGACAATCGAGGAACACCTTACACTGTCATATATATTTCCAGGAATTATTTGGTGGTTATCTGACTCACTGTTGGCATAATCTCCCCATTCATGCGCACGGTTTTATTTCAACCATCTGTGGATATGATTGTTGAATCAGCTATGAATGCATGTTCCTAAATACTACTTATTAATTCTGATGAGTAGTTGAATATCAGTGATGCTGTTTGGCTAGTTATCTGTATGTCTTCCATGATCGGAGTGATTTAACCACTGGACGGGTGTTTCGTATATTTGTAGTCCAGTTTAACCATTTTGTTGTGTTTTTGACTCATCTTGTACAGCAAAACACAATATAAATCGAGGTTTTCGAATTAACACATTTCATTGAAGGGAGTTAGATCAGGTACGCCGTTGATGACCTCAGTCAAAAATGACGGTGATTTTAGGGTTGCATCGGTATGGCAAGCACCTCCGGATGACGTGTGTGTATGGATGTTCCTATTTCTGTTCCACAACGGTTTATCTGAATCAGTCAGTAGCATGCTTCATTATGCATATATGCCTGCTTCATTTGATTGTCACTTATGGTATCCAGCGAATCTCATAATACACGGTGAATGATTTCGGTTTCCTAAAGTAATAGAGGTAAAGTTTCCACTTGTTGAACTGTTTGAATTTGACTTGAGAATTTCACTCATTGTTCAATCAACTTAACAAGTATCGAAAAACACAATGGATGAGGTTTCTTGGAGTTCTAGTGAGAAGTCGTGACCAGTTAGGTCCAATTAGATGTCACGTGTGTGGATAGATATCGCACCTACAACAATGGTTGGAGTCGCGCTAAATCACGAATTGGTAGAGGCTAGAATTCATAAGCCATTGAATCGTGTCACAGTGGCTGAGTAGTATATTAGCTAGGTTACCTTGTGACCGTAAGGTCCTGGGCTGGAACCCAGGAGGTGGGTGTGTACTGGCGATGATTCCAAAACTAGGATTAAACAGCAGCTGTCCAGTTCTCTCTGGTTTCAATGGTTCTGTAACTGATATCAATCCGTGATCAACTCGTAGAACACTGTATTTACAAAAACTGATTCTGGTCAGGATTGATATCTTCACTTTCACATATCTGTGTAACAATTTCCTTCTAGAATGGGCAACAATGTCCCGAGATCTTCATCCACGAAAATAAGAGTCAAAAGAGTACAGGCAGACAGTAAACGTTAGTGTATGACTGTGCAAAAAACTATTTGATGTGCAGAGAAAATGGTAAATCGGACTCACTGTTTAACTAAAATTCTTTTCAACTGTGTTCATTCATATGCTCTGCTCAAATGTTCCTAATAGAATATGCTTTTTTTCTGAATATTGAGTATTTCTTTTCCCCTATTTGTGGATTGGACCTTTTCGAATAAATGTAAATCCATGAAGTCTTTTCGTGTTATCAACAAATATGATGTGTTCTCGTGAGTTGACACAGTAAGTGAATGGGTTATTTCAGTGCAGGGTATGTCATTCATGTCGAGATGCAGATGTGTTAGTAGAAACAAAACACTGAATTCTGTGTAGAGTCTGTTCTCATTGAATTCATTTTCCCCACAGGCTAAACAGTCACGTCCAGATACAATTGTATTTTCATGAAACAGGTAGTAACCCAAGCGATGATTTGTCACAATCATATTTGTTGATATTAGTCAATGCATAAGAGGAGTTGATCAGGACTAATTAAGTTACATATCATGATGAAAATTTAATGAGCGTATCATGATCACCATGCCCAGAGAAACGAAGGCAAACATAAAGTAATGTGAGAGTGAGTTGCAAAGAAATACTAGATTTATAAGAACAAACAAACAAAGAAGCAAACGAGAATCAGTTGGGCAGACGGCAACGAGGAGTAGTAGAATGAATTCGTTTTGGATGCATAGCTATGGTTCCACTAACTGAGAGATTGAATCTTCTGTTGTATAAAGGAGACAACAGTATATTGCCTTTGGTAGGTTATTCTTCACTTTGTAGATGACTGATAGTTTCACTGTAGTAATCTGTTCAGTGTACATTAAAATCACCTGGTACATGTGTAATTTCATCCGACGGCCTATCGAACTGGTTTCTTAAACCACTACCCCAGATCACTTTACCAATCCAAGCGCACACCAATCACATTCAACATCGATTCAAACAACATACAACCAGACACGCGTCAGAACAACACCAGATGTATCTACACGAAACACTCGTTCACTTTTAGTGAGCTGGGGTAATCTATTCATTCCATGTTTGATTTGGTGACTAAGCAACTGTACAACATTGAACCGCTGAAACTAAGTTGATCTGGACAGCTCTTTCGTCGTTGTTTGATATTGTCTTCACTTGTTTTGTAAAACATGATCACAATGTCACCTAAGGATGGTGTGTTCGACATATATTTCCAAACACTCAAGCGGTGCCATAAGGAAAAACATGCACATTGTGTTAGAGTTTCACGATCTGTTGACGAATGACTGTGTTAAATACATTTCTCAACGTATATCATATACATATCAAGTAAGAAACAGTAATCCCAGTAATAATCTACAATTTAAATTTCTTTTCTCAATATCATCAATTTTTTTCTTAAGGCCTTTTATCCAATCAGGTTAAATCCAATTAAAACTGAATTATGGTTCATCACACAAACATAAACAAACAAATTCAGTCAATTTTCGATTGGTTATTGTGAGAAACCAATAAATGAAATAGTGTCATTTGTTAGTGGTATAAATATCCCTACAAAATATTCTATCAGTATCAAGTTAGTTAGTGACTATTCAGCACACAAAACAGGTGAGTGCCAGTGGTATAGCTGTTTCCATTATATACTATGTAATGTGTAATTAACGCTTGAGAAATATTCACATTCTTGTCAGCAAAATATGTTACATATATATGTATGAATGTTTCTGTGATTGTGACTGCAGTGACAGTCTCTCCTTCACTCGTCCAGGCATCTAGACCAGCGACTTTGCCTGTCACAATTTTATCGTAGCTAGTATTAGGCAGGGTGGAACCTAAAGTAATCTGTCTCATGACAGTGTGACTGTAGTACCGAATAGACGAAGTCGCCAATAAAGCTCTCTGGTTGGTATCTTTGTAGTCTGTAGCTCTATCTGTTCATTGTAGGAGCCTTTTTGATAAGCAGTTTTGCAAATATTGATGACATTGTGTGCAAGTCATGAGATTTCGTTCTATAAAGTCTGATGGATTTGTTATGTGGTGCTACTCTAAAAAACTTCAGCCGAGTTTTTCATTGGTGAATATTTCTTCCACCTTCATTTGTCCAACTGATCCAGTCTTTTTGAAACAATAAAGCATTCAGAAAATTTAGATATTCTGCCTATTCAGTAAAGATACGAAAACGAATAAAGATCAGTTTTCCACTGAACTGGTCAGAGGGATGAGATTCAAATTTGAGATGGTAGTAGTGATTCGATGGAATTATTGCATACATATATTTTGTGAGCAACAAAGGAGAGAACTATTGTTCGATTGCTGTCTTCAGACTTCTCCATAGATTTGTAGTTATATCGTATGTAACCTTACGAGTGACAATAGCGGTATGCGTCTACAGTGTTGTGGGACGTGTGGGACGTCCAAGTGTGACATGGAGGAGATCGTGTGAAGAGGAGTTGAAAGAATATGGATTAACATGGATACAGGCGAAAAGTATATCAGAAGACAGAAGAAAATGGAGACGTGCAGGTGAAGCCCTATGTCCCACTAGAAACCCAAGGGAGCAATAATAATAATAATAATTGCATACATATATTTTGTGGGCAACAAAGGAGAGGACTATTGTTCGATTGCTGTCTTCAGACTTCTCCATAGATTCGTAGTTAAATCGTATATCACCTTACGAGTGACAATAGCGGCATGCGTCCACAGTGTTGTTCAAACATCGTTAGATAATCCATGCTGACTTTCGACCGCTGTGTAAGATATTTTCCTGGATTTAAGTTAGTCCAGAACAAATAGCACCAATGTGACTGAGGGTGTGGGTGCGCAGGTAGCAAAATATGTTGTTTCGTTTGAACAAGATGTTCACTTACACTCAATACTAAATGTGATAAATTTTTCGCATCGTTCAGTCGCCATGTGGCCACTAGAGATCCTTCAAATGGTGAAGAAAAAGCTGTTGAGGTTGTCGATTCTCACGATTCAGTTAGGAATGTCAGTCTGCTAGACATATGTATATATATATATATATACATATAGGCAATGACGTTCCAGTCTTCCCTTTCTATCAAGATGGACTTCAAGAATGAGCCAGTCCTTTATATTTAGATAATACTGATAATGCCGTGTATAGATTTTTAAACTACTTCAAACATTGTCAAAGTAGGTGAATAACACAAAGTCTTGGGCCTTACTTAGCTTAATTTTTACACCAACTTCATTTGGATTAAATCACGTCTCAACCCAGGGAAATGACATTTCTTGTTTCTTATTATTATTATTGTTCCTTTGGGTTCTGAGTGTTGATAATAAATGAGCAGCTGACTGCTCGAAATGCTATTCGTGACGAAGTTGCTCAGTTTCAGAACCATAAGAAAGAACCAACTGAGGTTGATTGCGGTGAATTTCCGAACTGATTTAACGGTGACGATGGGGACCTGCGATATCTTGCCGAATATGTTTGGCGTTGACATCCTCATCCATTCCGACTGACTGTAGTCAAAATCATGGTGTGCAGAAAATTATGGGGTGTTACAACTTCCCAATTTATTCCACTGGGACTAATTTACTTGTTGTTGGTTTTGATAGGTTAGGGGGATAGTCAACGGGTTATCTGTCCAATCGAACATTACAGAATATAACACACCACGTACGTGTCTTCATAAATATTAGAAGGAAAAGACAAATCCAGTATAATATACTGAAAACTGTCCACTCTGACAGTGACTGATTTTTGCCTATTACTCACCCGATATATTAATTTTTTATTATCATTCCTTCGGGTTCCTAGTGGGACACAGGGTTTGAACAACACATCTTCACTTTCTTCTATTCATTGCCATCCTGTCAGCTAGGTCCTCGATTGCCTGTAATCTTTCATCTCTTCCACACGCGATCACATCCCTCAATTCATCCTTGAAATACCCACTTGTCACTTCCATTTGGATTCCATTCGGGTCATGGCGCGCAATGTCATTCAATGGTCTCCTCAGTGTATGCCAGATCAGTCCATTCCCCTTTTCTCCTACATATTTTTTAAGTGATCAACATTCGCCTGTGGGTTTGTTGCCGAAGTTTATTGCTACTCATTTCTTCTGGCCACATGTTCATTTGCTCTTCAGTATGAACTCAGCGAAGGCAGCTGTTGATGAAAGTGCGAAGTCTGCTAAAAGTACTTTTCGTGCTAGTTGGCATTCGTCAGCAAGACGTATCTGCAACCTTGAATGGTAGCTACATTACAACCTGACTGATCGAATTCAGTCTGCACCAAAGAGACGACTAGACACATCACACTAGTTACTAGTTACAAATCAAAACACCCGACTTATGTTTCTCTCCTTGAGAAGTGGCATCGTCATTTGTGTACCAGATATGAATCAAGTAAGAGACCCAAATAAGTTGGAAACTGGTGTATACAAATTGAACCATCTCTTTGAATCGAGTTAGTCCAAATACGCCATTGATGACCTCAATCGAAAAAGAGCAAAACGTCCTCTTTGTGTTAAGATCACTTCAGCCCAGCTGGCTAGCTGGCATAACTGTTTGATATGTGTCTGTGTGTGTGTGTGTGTATGTGCCATACATTGACTCATCTCAGTCAGTCAGCAGTACATTCATTTCCTACTACTCCAATTATTTATGTGGTCTTTCAAATCACATATTACACTTATAAATGTTTCGGTTTACTAAGGAAAACGAAGTGAAATTTCGCTCATTGAACTGAGAGGCAAAGATTGGCGAATTTCACTCATTGTATAATCGAGTTGAGTTGATCGGTATCTGAAACGTGATCCGCTTACCTCTTTTCAAAATACCAAGTAGACCGAAATGTTTCCAACATATTGGCTTACCGAATGCTATATATGCTTAGATTCATATTGATTGGGATCGTGTGAGCCAGGGGAGATTAGAGATTATGGGCAATCATGCGACCACAATGAAGAGGGACCTAGACAAGTGGAATTTGTGAGATGTGGTGTTGAACGTGCATGTTACACTGGGAATCCAAAGCAACAGTAAACGCCACTATCATTCATATCAACTTACATCAAAATAAAAGTCACTGTTTTTACCTTTTATTATATACTTCTAGTAAAATGGTTCCCCAGAGAACGAAATTCAACCTCATTGCACTCGTCAGTCTGTGCGTAATCAATATTATGGAGATTGAATCAGATAAATTTAATTATCCGATGACAGTTGGTACAGACGGTAAGTTAAATTCATTCTTTTTATGTATGTAACTGAAATAAATGCGATACAACTCGAACTGAGTATCTCAACAAATCGTATCTTGAAATTCATTGTACTTCTCACTGCTACCTGACTGACTGGCTGACTACAGGATGATGTCGCTTGAAATCCCAGTGAGAATTTGTGACTGCGTTATTGACATATACTCATCGATGATGAGTTTGGATAACGGTAGTGCAGTTTATTTTGAAATAGCATTAATTAGAATTCATAGCTCACTGGATCACTTCCTAGTGAATAAAAATTTACTGAGGTCATTTCGTCAACTGAAAGTTTCCAAGTCCATTTTCTATGGGATGAGTGGGGCATGCTTCTGAAGAGCTTCAGAGTACGATCAAGGGATTGACCTATAATTCTCGTTTGTCAGTTGTTCTCTAAATGATAACACTTCATGAACAACATTAGGTACTCTATCGATGTGAGAATGTTACTATTTATTCGGTTGTGTACTGGATTAGGCGAGATTGGGATACATGATGTGTGAGAAGACAGGAATGTGCTGAACCAATAAAAATACTCTAAAAGATCTGGAATTTGAGGCGGATAATTTATGTTTAGTGACACACAAACTTGAAAAACACACTGTCAACAGAAGCAGGCAGGGAATATATGTCTTCAAAAGAAGACAAAGAAAATTGAGGCAAGGTATATAACCAATGCAGAAACGACAACAACAAACGCCGACCACCATTTGAAGGATAAATCTGGAAGAGATCACTTTATTCACATGCGACTCATGAAGGTGTGAGTACTGCACTCGAAATTTCGAGACAGACCTTCGTCACTCTGAAATCAGAGTTGAAATCATATCTGCTCGACCACAGTATGATTTTGAACAACAGTTTTAATTCAGTCAGTCTTTCACTTCTTCTAAATGAGTCAGACGTAACAACAGAAGTACTTGGACCAACCAGCTTCAGACCATTATCAATAGCCGTCTTCTGTAGCACATTAAGGAAGATCAGATGCTGCTTCAAGCGCGTTTAGAAAACGAAACTATGGGAAAAACCAGCGAAAACCTACTGGTCAAGAAATATTCAGAAGGAAATGAAGGAGGATCGGATAGACGTTGAGACTGACGGATGTGAAATGGAGAATTTTGGATGTGTCAGGGGTTGACATGGAGACGATGGCGTGATTTCAGCAAATGAGAGCTTACGGACGAGCACTCGGTCATACCCAAGCGAACTGCAGCCTTTAGAATAAGGTTTAGATGTGCTGTTCGAGGTGTATATTTCACGTGGAACTCAAGATAACACTAATAATTAATGGCGGTGGTGGAGTCCTGAACTTCCATCTACAAACATTTTATAATTGAATTATGTGTCACGCAAATTGATCAAGGATTCAACTCTTAGTCTCTTGTATGAACTGAAGACAGTCTAACTCAGTCATTCTATAAGCTCTGAATATTTCTTTATTTCGACTTCAAAAAGCTTCCTAAACAATGTAAAAGCATATTCGGTGCATAGATACAAATCCCCTGACACTCTTCCTGCGAAAAAGTCTCCTGCATACGGAGCAGAATAAAATGAAACACCTTTATTTCATCAATAAGTTGTCGACCTGGATGGTGGAGGTATACAGTAGAAAACAATCACCATTGGGACACTGAGTGACTAAGAACCCGAAGCGAATCAACTAAAATTCCATCCTCACAAGTTTTAAAATCGAATTTATTTATAAATAAGTGGACAGTTCCCGTTGGTTGTAAAATATTTTGATTCTCAACAGTTAGTTCCTGAGGTTTTGATCTGCCTCAGCTGACTTCACTGTTTGACATACTTCCGGCCAACAAGTGGAAACTATGGAGAGATACTGGGCAGGCATTTCGCTTGGCTTAATTAAGGATTCGTCGATAGTACGTACCCACTACAGAGGTTTGAATTCGGGAACTTCCGATTGCCAGGTAAGCTAGATCGTAGACTATTGAGCTAGTGGATCCCAACCCAATCAAACATGGTTTTCTAACCTGCTTTCACCTAGATTGAAATTCCTGTGAAAAAGTGCTACTGGTTGACCCAAACTACGACGAAACAGCTGGCTATTCAGTATTCCCTGCTGGTTTCCGATCCTTCTTTCTCTGAATGATATCGAGTCAAGCCGAAACTTGATGCTTCGATTAGGTAAAGAAACAGACATCAAAAACGAAATTCCGATGTGCTAAAAGATATGAATCCCTGACTTCAAATACACCAAACTGAATTTCAGAACCCGATTGATGATTTAATCATATTTTATTTCACTTCAATCATGAACTAAATATACTTGTAGAGATTTTAGACCTTTTCCACTAACTTTCAAAACTAATTTTCGTTTATTTTAATTTTAAGGACAAATGACCGTTGATTTTGGGGGAATACTAATCACTCTGAGTGATACCTTCATAATTACAATTCAAGGTAAAAACTGTACATATGTATTTGACTTCTCACAACCAAACCAAGAGGAGTTTAGAGTTAGAAGAGGAAATCGTCGAGCTTCTCTGTGAGTTTTCTCTTTTTTAAAGTGTTTTATATGTTGTGTCTTAGAGCTGTTTGATCAGAATTATATCCAAATCACTTGATTATGTTATTATGAATATGCTCATCTAATTCTCAAGAATACCACGTACATTTTTTGTAAAAGAGCCTTGTGTTCCACAGACAAATGGGTCCTCTGTGTGTCGTTGTTGTCTTGTGGTGCCATATGTAATTGCCAGTATGTTCTCAGTTTCACTATACATCATGTAGTGCTGGTGAGAAAATATTTTTACAATGAGTGACAATAATGGTATTAACAACATGAGCAGTCGTAGTAGAAGGAATTGTGATGTATGTGTATAAATTGACTGGCTCCTACAGAGCTAGCTAGTTATATATGTTGGAAATCAACATATAGTTTTAAAATGAGAGCGCTTCATTTCGTTCCTAACGACAACTGGTGTGCTTCAAGGAGTTGTATTCTCTCAGTTTCTATCTTCGTTTTGCATGATCTTCCGTGATCTCCCAATGCAAATGGCACTATATATGCTGACGATCTTATAATCTCTGTCCTATTTGCTGAAGCACTGGATTCTCCTCGTCAACTAAATAGACTCTTAAGGGAATTTAACAAGAAGTCTTATTCAGAATGGCCGTAACTAAATTCAACCCAAATTTCATTCAATTTGTTGATTTCAGTTTAGGACGTGAACAAGACCCGCGGAGACTGTTTGTTTTGTCAGTAGATTGCGCTATAGAGGGGAGTGAACTGATTAACTGCCATTTCGGCATCGCTTTCTCTTCAAATCTCTTTTGATCGCCTCATATCTTGTTGAATTCTAGTGAAATATTTCGTCTGACTTATTGTTTGAGGAATTTGACACCTAGTGCAGGTCTTAGTAAACGTCTTCTCCAACAGTTCATTAATTCATATATTCCGTCCATTCTTCTTCTTCCTCATTTTTCTCCCCACTTATTCTTCCACGAACATCTCAAAATCAGACTAATTCATATCCCGTAGAATATTGGAGGCTGTAGGTGAGGTTAGATGGTATGCTTATTTCGACTTGGCCAATTGGCATTATTGTCCATAGCCACATCAGTTATTACAAGCAGTTGGCTCAAGTGATCTCATGCGATGGCCAACATCCTCTTTACTATTCGCAATTTCTTGCTTTTGTAAAAGTAGAAGAGATTCTATAAGAAATTATACTCGTATGAGCAGTCAAATATAAAACCTCACCGATACCATATTGAGCAGGGGTTTTGTGAAGAGATAAATATGAAAAAAGAACTTCCGAAAGCTTTTAATCAGTAACTGAATTCCAAATTACTCTTCAGCTGACCGCACTAGAGTCCGTAGGTTCTCATCTCCTTCGAAAACACACACATGCATATGCGATATCTTCCACCTGACCCACAGTCATCAAACTTACCAAGGTCCATACAGGCACCATTCCGCGATAACCTCACGTGTCATATCACTCGACAGTCTTCCCTGCGCGTGTCTAATACATTTGCAATTCTTTAAGCACATTTGTCTGGTGACATGTTATGCTGTGCTCCAGAAATATTCACTTCAACTTAGGATAAACATGACTAGAATTGATACTATTTCTACCGACACTTACACAATCGCTTTTATTTCTTCGGATATAATACAATCGAACAATGAACATTATATTTATCAAAACTGATTCTGATGTGTATTCATGACTTGATTCTCAACTTTCTTTCTCTAGAGCGTGCAAAGACGACTCGAATACTTCAAACAAAAGAAGACGAATTAAGAGAATACTTGATGACAGTAACCGATAGACTCTGTTTGTGCGAAAATCTGCTGAAGTTGTAGCGAAAATGGCAACATTTGGCTTCATATACATTGTTTAGCTAAAGAATAATTTCAACTGTGCTAATTCAAATGCTTTGCTTCGGTGTTGGTAAAGCCAGTATGCTTCATTGTGTGAAAAATGAGTATTCTTCTTCTTCTTTCTGTAGATTAGATATTCTTCAATAAATGTATATTTACAAACTGCTTTTGTCTTTTCGTTGTTGCTTTTGTCTTATCAACAAAAATGGAATATTCTTGTGTGTTGACATAGTAAGCGAATGATTGATTTCATTGCATAGTGTGTCGTTCATGTTGAATTCGCTTTTATCATGAACACACTTTTACAGTGTAAATCCAGTGGAAACCAGGAAGAGTACGACTGGTCACATACGCAATTTCTGGGCGCGGTAGAAATTTCCATGTTGGTGATATTCATGAATAATCCCAGTGAAGACCTGTTAATGGAAACAAAGCTAATTGTCCAGTGAAGTTGGACTTCTCGGAGTATTTATTTTCTGCTTTTCATGTACAATCACATTTATACACAATACTGTTTTCATGAAACGGGATAGCAACGGGAATATTTAGCTGTCACACTAATAGTTGTTGATGTTTGTTATTACATGAGAGGAGTTGATTTAGTGTATTTGTGTTACGCATCAAGATGAAAAATTAGATGATTGTGGTGTGATCATGATGCACATAGAGACGAAAGCAAACGTAGAATTGTGTGAGAGAGAGTTGCAAAGAAATACACGAGAGTGATGAGAGTGAACAAACAAAGTAGCAAACGAGACTGAGGTGTGTAGGAAGCAACAAGGATATTGACATGACAGTGGTATTGACCGATTAATTTTCTTTTCTGATTCCTCTGACTAAGTGTCTGAAGCTCCAGTAACACAAAAGAGACGAACGCTTCGTTAGATTATTCTTCACTTTGTAGATTACTACTATTGTGATGGCGATAATTCATCCTGTGTACGGCAAACTTCCATGATTCATGTGTAATTCGAACAGACGTCCTTTCGGACTTTCGCATTAAACCACTTCCTCAGATAGATCGACCGATCCGCATCCATGCAACACCTCTAAACGAATCATATTCAATACCCAGAAATACAGCAGACACACCACACAACAACACATCAATTGCCTTATTCAAGACAGTCTGCATAACACAGAATACATCTAGTGGAAACATTCGATTAACTCCAGTGGGGATTTTTCTAATCATTTCACTTCTGATTTTGACACCTTCCAATTGTACGAGATAGAACCGCTGCAAACTAAGTTGCAATGAACAGCTCTTCCATTGATGTTGGAGACTGTCTGCACAGAGAATTGTTATACACACCATGTGACCTAAGGATGATGCATTCAACCTACTATCCAGTTGCGAATGTTTGCTTGTAAAACGTTCACAGCACTCGTGAGATAAAGATTGTATTGCGCTATTGATCTAATGAGTGTCAAATCTTTTTGAAATCCACCTTCCACTTTTAACAATCATATACTTTCTTATACTTGAAAACCGTTCATATTGTATATTTTCACTTATAATAGAACGCGAAACAAGTGATTCTGCGAAGAGACTCTTTTCAACAACGAATTTGTGATCAAGATGAGGAGTCTTGTATGATATGCTTCTCAAGAAATCGTATCTTCTGAAAGAATTTCAATCATACGTATGAATACATGCAATAGTAATATTAGTCAAAGTATGAAATGCAACTCAGATGACTGTGGCGTCATAATCATAGTTCAGTGAGGCGTGTGAGCCCGATTAATTTCAAATGTAAAACACCTATAGCTGTAGCTAAGACTGTTCACAGGAAATGTATTTGAATAGAATTTAGTAACGCGGTTTTTACAGCTTGGATTTTCAGGATTGGGAATGACTGAGATGTGGACTGACTGCAACTACTACTAATACTACTACCATCACATTTCCCGAGTTGAGTCGAAACCATATTTTTTATAGAGATAGTGATAAGCAAATAACAGTGTTGTTTTTGCAGACAATTCAGTCTTCATTCTTCGAATGGCGGCAGCCTCATTTATTTGAAGTCATCTATTTGTCCATTACAACCTTAACACATGTCAGTGTGTTGATATTGTGTTCTGTTCCAAGCAGCTACTGATGTGTGAGGCTGGCGGACAGAGTTGAACCTCTAACAAGTAGACTGTCCAACACGTATTCATGAATCCACATTGACAACCGTTCCTCTGTCTTTCTTATTTGCTTGCAATATCACATCCATGTGAATTCATTAACACAGCTGAAATTATTCACAGTCGGTTGTTGATCTAAACTCGAATATGTAGTTGAATAAGTCATTTTCTCAACATCAACACCAGTATGGCGGTTAGTCATGTCCTCAACTAAGCATCTTTCTTCTGACAACACTTGCCTATTTTAGAGGGAATCAACTTCATTTGATACTCTGATAATCCGACTGTCTCACTACCAGTAACCTCCATATATCTGTCTGTTTCAAGATGAATAGCTTTCGTAATCCACAGGAACTGGTCTCTTCTCAAGATGACTGTCGCATAGAGTAGATAGTACTGATACAAAAACGAATTGAAGCATTGAATGCCTCTTGATAGTTCCGTATTCTCATGCTTCTCTATCATTCCACACCTTGTGGGTTTCCAAGATAGCTTCCGTCTTACCCAACTACATTCACCGGTCAACACAATGACTTACGTATCACATAACCTCTGCTTCTACAATTCGTTCAGTCTTGCATCTTTTCTTATTGTTCGTTATTGCTTCTCCGCCGACAACTTAGTCTTTCTTGGTATGGTGAGGAAAAAGAAAGTCATATTGGCAATGGTATTAAGGGTTTTTTGGAAGGCGATTGCCGTTCCACCAGTAATTCAGCTAATTACTGCTGTCATCAAGTTATAGATGGTGCAAAACCACATTGTGTACTTACAACTCTCTAGGTCTTGCATCTAGTCAGTTGGAGGTGAAAATAGTTACAAACGATTATATGCTCACTTACACTAAAGACGAAAACTCAAGTACACTCTAATTATTTCTCGCCTTTGTTCTATGAAACAGAGAAGGTCCTTAGCGTAGAATTTATGACCTAATATTTAACGAGCGAAATCCATGGCTCTTTAGTTCTCCTCTGTTTGTTAATTATGGTGACAAAGTTTCCATGAGTTAATTGGTTTAGCTGCTAACACTATTTTCATTATTATACACTATTTCCTTACTGTGAGTGCGCTTTTTTCCGAAACGATCTGCCTATCCACTCTTCCTTAGGTGTTGATTGATGCAAGCAGTGTCAGTACTCCAGAGAAAAATTATTTCCTGCTCTCTGATGCAGTTTCATGACTATATTTCTGTGAGAAATTTCACAGCATCCCCTATTCCTGTTTCTGTGTACTTCATTTTATTTTCGTCCATAAATCAGGGAAGTGCAGCTCAAGTGCGACTTAATGCTTCACTGTGAACTTGATTTTTGAATATGTACAACTCAATATATCTAGCAATCAGTATTTCAGCTTGCTTAATGTCACCACTCACAGGAAATACAATATCTGCGGCGACTGAGAGATGAACATCTTAAGGAAGATAACAGATATCACGCTAGTATTTTTCTCGATGATGCATACAGATCTCAACCACTAGTTGAGGCAGGGACCACGTATAACTACTCCATCGAATTGACGATGCTGTAATTGATGTGTTGTTCTCATGTCTCTTGCACTGTGAAAACCTGAGTCTTTTGTCGGATCCTATATCAGTCAGTTTCAATTGTTGCCTTCCGTTCACTTCCCCATGGTAGATTTATCGTCTTTGTGGTGATCTTTCTTCACGATTCTTAATATGGATCATAAATTGATATCAGTTAGAGAACCGTTGACAAACTAGAATTACTGAAAAATCACTTAGTCGTATTCTGAGGCTCCCTAGTAGTCTGCACCCATCATCGTCTCAGGAATCGAGTTAGAATCTCGCAGGTGATGATATTGCCCTTGAGACTATCCATTGACTAGGACGGAATACAGTGAACTACGAATCCCCACTTTTGCTAATTGGCAATAACAATCACCACCTGTATTCAATATCATCATCGGTGGGTATATGTCACCACAGTGGTCACACTTCCCTGTGCCATTAGTTTGCAAGTGCAATTTTCGCATTCAGCTTTACATCACCACTTTTTCTCACTTGCTATTGTCGTCTTCGTCACGGCCATACTTCTTCTTAAGAGCTCTCCTCTCCTACATGTAAGCATCCGATCCACACATACCTAGACAATTTCAGTTCAAAATGCACTTTTGCTATGCAATCGCGCTCAAGTGACTTCATGATTTTGAATCCAGGCGTGGATGTGACAAGTGATTCTCATGTGTTGAAACATTTTTAAACTGCATGGCAGTTTGAAAAATAATATGCGGATTGTTTTTTTGATACCTATTAACTTGACTGTATAATGAGTGAAATTCTCAAGTCAAATTCAAACAGTTGAACAAGTGGAAACTTTACCTCGATTTCTTTAGGAAACCGAAATCATTCACCGTGTAACATGAGATTTGCCGGATACCATAAGTGACAGTCGAATAAAGCAGACATATATGCATGATGACGCATGCTACTGACTGATTCAGATGAACCGTTGTGGAACACATATAGGAACATTTTTTGACACACGTCATCCAGATCAGCTTGCAAGCTAGCCAGTTATGCCGATGCAACTCTCAAATGAGCCTCATTTCAGACTGCGCTCATCAACAGCGTAACCGATCTAACTCCACTCAATGAAATGTGTTGATTCGAACACCCCAACTTCTAATTTGTTCTGCCGTATGAGATGAGTCAAAACCGGAACAAAATGGCTGAGCCTGACTCCAAATATACGAAACACCCGTCCAGTGGTTAAATCACTCCGATCATGGTGGTATGACAGGCAACCAGCCAGCCAGCTTCACTGGTATGCAAGTACTCATCTCAATGAATAAGTAGTATATAACAACATGCATTCATATTTGGAAGTATACCCTGTCTGCAGATAATTGATATATTAACGTGAGCAGGAAGGGAGAGATTATAATCACCAAATAATTCCTGGAAATAGATATGACAGTGTAAGATGTTTCTCGATTGTCCAGAACTCCTCATTTGATGATAAAATTGTACAAAATTCTAGATGGGTTTCCACTCGAGATGTTCACATAGCTAACTG